CACATTTCCACAGTATTACACATGTGATACACACAACTCCCCCTCCCAAACTTTAAAATTCAGCCATGCTGACTTCTTACTGTTTCTCATAGATAGCATTGCATGTTTCATATCCATGACTTTGTACTCTCTGTCTCCCAAACCTGGAATAAAATCCCACCTTTTACCTTTTTTTTCCTATCTCTTCCTTTTAGAACAGCCCCCTGGGTGTCTGAGCAGCCTTTTAAGGATCACACTGCTCACCTTCTGGTGTGAGGAAGGGGCTTGAAAAGGTGCCCTAAAAATTGTGTACTGGTTCAGATTCTTATAATCTAGCCACTGCTCAGATTGCTTAAGTTTCTGTCCAATATGATGAGTGTTCTAATAAATCTTGTCTTTGGCTGAAAGAAGACTTTGGTTGAATTCTTTCAGGCAGGATCTGCATGTTATGATTTTGGGGTCCCAGCACCCCTAAACTCCTAGATGTCAACATTTTAGTGGCCCGTATGGGGAAACTGCCTAATCTCAAATTCTTCTCCAGCCAAGACTGGAAGGTATGTAACCCTCCCTCCTCCCCTTATTGCTTTGCAGTTGGGGTCGCTCTCCAAGCACCAAGACTTGGAGGTGCTTTTCAGGCTGACAGTTACGAAGTTGTCTCACACTTGGCCTGATGCTCTCAGGCTCTTGGTCCACTGGGTCATTTTGAGGCCACGGACCTGGGTACACCTTCCACCAGCATAGAGGACAAGGACGGATGCCCTATCTGGAAGTGTATGCTCAATTCTGTTAATTCCCTTGGTGGTAGGGAATTGAGGAAAGCTGCAGTTGCTTTTTGGTTCCCTGAGGCTTACTTACTCCCTTCCCTCTACACCCCTGAATTCTCCTTCATGGAGATTACAGGGAAAAGTTAGAAAGGCTAAAAATATCTTTGTAGATTCTAGAGGTTTTATGAATGATCGTTAAGGAGTTTTGAAACACCTCCTTACAAACCTGGTCTCTCCCTTCTCCCACTCCCCTCCCTTTAGTCAAGAAGGTATCTTTGTTAACCCCTCTCATAGGAGAGGAGAGTTTCACCCTTTCTCCCTCACTTTTGAATTTGCCCTCCCCCACCTGGGCAAAAGAAGGAGGGGGGAGGGGCAGCAGCTACAGCATAAGCCCCATTGGCAATGGTCTTGGGCCCTGGGGCAACCTTTGCCTAGAAGCATCACCCAGGTTCAGCACATATTGCTCAAAGTAAAGAAGCTAGCCTTTGAATTTGAGTAAGCACATTCTTTTAAAGTTGTAGTTTTAACTGTTAATGATGAGATGTTGATTCTCTGTGTAAAGTAATTTGGAAATGCATTTAACAAAACTGAAGTCACCTGATTGCTAATGGGTTTGTTTCAAGTTTCAAATTGGTGAAATTTTTGTATTAGTTATCTCAAGCAACTTTTCATAATTTGGTTACTGCTAAAATAATTTGGCCATGTTGGTTATTGTTTTAATGTGTAAACTAGCCAGAAAGCTGGTTTGGGTTTTGTCTTGCTGAGAATTTGCAAATATATAGAAATAATCTCTAATGGTTGGTTTTTTACACCAAGACAAATTTAAGTTTGAGATGTAAATCCTGGAAAAGTTTTTCCCAAGTTGTGATTAGTGAAACTTGCTGTGTGAGGTAAAAGCTCATAGGATTTTATTTTGAGTTGTTGGATGGATCATAATAATCCATCAATAATCAATAATCCACTATCTGATAGAAATGCCACAAGCTACTCAGAGAGGATGTGATACTGGTGGGAAGTCAACATCAGGAAAAGCTGACTGGACAATTTCAATCTCACTCTAAGATAGGATCCTCCTGGCTCAGTTTCCCCATTATGTTCCTTTGAAAAGGAATGTTATCCACCTGGCTATTCCTGAGTCTGGATATGAGGTGGATTTGATTCTGCATGGTTGGAAAACTGAATTTTCTGAATCCAAACAGAGCTAAAGATGATTTATCTTGTCATATTTGGGCCCTGCAGTCTTTTCTGTCACATTTCTGTCTTCCAACTACAGGTCATTCACCTACAACTGATAGCAAACAGTGTGTACCAGCCAATGCCCCCCCCCCCCATCGTTCCCTGGATGCAGCCTGTGCTAGGTTCCAGTCAACCTTCTCTTTGGGACCCCCTCAAGTCAGGGACAGCTGTATGCCCCTTGCCAGCAGGAAGCAGTTTCAGAAACTGAGACCTTTGTCCCTTAACCCAAAAGAATTTGGGTCCCATTTGTTCGAGGGGGGAATGATGAAGATGGGATCTAGACCACAAAAAGGAAAAACCTTGGACATTCCCACATGGCCTAATCTCTGGTGTTCACCTGAGGCTATAATCCCATCAACTCTGTTACCCTTAACCTAGCCTGGCCCTGCGTTGTCTTACCTCCCTATGTCCCCTGATATTTCACACCCTTAATCCTAGCTAGACTCCATTCTCCCTTGGCCATGTGGTCCAGGTATCTGGCATTCTATTACCTCACACTCGTTCCCCCCCCACAAGACTACTTGACCACTCCTAGATTTCTCCCACAATCTTTCTGTATATAAGGTCCATCTTGTCTCCATTAAGGTGCTCAGAGTCTTATAATCTAGCCACTGCTCAGATTCCTTAAGAGTCTGCCCAATATGATGAGTGTTCTAATAAACCTTATCTTAGGCTGAAAAAAAATGTGCACTTACCCAACCCTGGCATGATACTGCAGCAGGCAGGGAATCTCACTCTGTGGTTGAAAAACAAAAAAATGTACAAAAATGTCTGCAAAGACAATTCTAATCATGGGCACATGTAATGTGGGCACACTTACAGGCAACACAAAATCCTGTAGACTTGAAAGACTAACAGCTCTTGTTGCAAGAGAACTCAGCAGGTATTACATCCAAATAGCAGCCCTGAGTGAAACAAGGCTGGCAAATGAAGGTCAGCTTACTGAATTTGGAGCTGTATACATGTTTTTCAGGAGTGGCTGCAGTGAAGCAGAGTGCAGTGAAGCTGGTGTAGGTTTGGCAATCAAAATTAATCTAGTGAACAAGCTTGTATGCCTACCAAAAGGGGTGAACGAAAGGCTCATGACAATGTAATTGCCACTTGTAGGAAAACATCATGCCACCATCATCTGTGCCTGTGCTCCCACCAGGATGAATTCTGATAAGGTCAAAGAAAAAATTTTATGAAGACCTGGAGACCCTTAGCATCAATGTGCCAAAAGAGGACAAGCTTATAATTCTGGGTGACTAATGCTAGAGTATGCTCAGACTACCAGACTTAGCAGGGAGTTGTAGAAAGGAATGGAGTTGGAAACATGACCTTCTCATCACCAACACTGTCTTCCATTTACCTAAATGCAATAAAACTTCATGAATGCACTCTTGCAGCAAACATTTGCATTTAACAGATATGTGATTGTAAAGAGAAGAGACAGACAGGAAGTGAGTGATGAAGGCAATGTGTGGTGCAGAGTGCTTGATTGATCTTAGACTTACCCTCTCTAAGTTACATATTCCCATTCAACAAAAGCAGAGTCCCCAAGGCAAAATGACTACCAGAAGAATTAACGTCAACAGATTAGAGTTCTTCTCTCAGCAGGAGCAGTTTGTTGCTAACTAGGAGGGAAAGTTGAGCCAATACAGAGTAGGCAACAGTGGAGCAGAAACGGACTGGGCAGCTTTCATAGATCTGGTGTATAGCACTGCATTTGCTCATCTAGGTCAGAACACTCTCAAACATCAAGGTTGGTTTGATGAAAATGATGGGGAAATTTAGAAGATGCTAAATGAAAAACAAGGACACCACAGGGTTTATCAGCAGGATAGTTCGTCCGATCTCAAAGAAGGCAGCATTTAATTCCATCACAAGTAAAGTACAAGCAAAGCTTAGAGAGATGCAGGATTCTTGGCTCACTAAGAAGGTAGATGAAATTCAGTTTTATGCTGATGGTAACAATCCAAAGCACTTTTATGATGCCCTGACTATTTGTGGGTGAAAGACCTGTGGTGCACCTCAACTACTCAGTGATGATGGAGCCACATTGATTAGTGATAAGGACATGATCCTAGAGAGATGGGCTGAACACTTCCATAATGTTTTCAACAGACCACCATCAATCAATGCTGAAGTCATTGACTGTTTACCACAAGTTGAAGTCAATTCCTCCCTAGCAGAAATTCCAACTGAAGAAGAGGTTTTGAATGCCATTAGGCTCCTTTTGTGTGGCAAAGCATCTGGTGCTGATTCTATTCCAGCTGAGATATACAACATGGAGGTACATTGCTCATACAAAAGCTGACTGACTCCCAAATCTATAAATCAACCCCTGATTGCCATTTCTGAAATCTGCTTGCACTATCAATTATTTGCTAGACATTTCCTCCTCAATGTCCCATAAGCATCTTAGAGTTATTATTTACAAAATGAAACTCAGTAGCTTCCCCCCAAACTCATCCTTTATTGAGGAGAAAATACTAACCCCTCATTATTTTATCTGCAGGATTCAAAGCCCCTGACTGTCTGCTTCCTACCTACCTCTCCAGTGTGATTTTGTATTACTCCTCTCCATGTACTGTATGTTTGTTGAATGTTTTGAATGTTTGTTGAACCTGAGCAACTAGTAATTAGATTAAAAAACACTGTTTTACACCTACCCATGTTCTTTGACTGCCTATAATTACTATGGAAAATTTATCCACTATCTGGTTTTATCTGTGATTAAAATTAGAAATACACACTTGGCAGCTTCTCTCTCTCTCTTTTTTTTTTTTTATTTTTGCCCCTTTCCCGCTGCAATGCCAGCAGAAGATAAGATTTTGTTACAAAAGGACATTTACAGGCTATTTGGAGTGGTGCATGGAGCTTGCCTGAACTTCCATGGTGAGTGAGGGAAATCTATTTCACTGCTGTTTTATTATGTACATTATTCAAAATAAAACAGAATATTTGAAAAAAAATCAAGTGAACATGAATCACCACAGTCTTTGTTCTGTTTCTCTACCAAGACTCAATTATGTATATGGCTCTATTTAGATGCTGCTAATTTGGGCAATCTCTCTGCTGTTGGGCACAGTGGCAGGTAAGAAACTTTATTTGTGTCAGTATTGGACATGTAAGTCTCTTGTGTGTATCAGTCTGTGAAATGGTTCAGAATTATTTCCTATATAGAAAGTGTCTGATATAATGAATAGAAAGCCAGTCTCTGTGTTGGGAGAGCCTGGGTTCATGTTTCACCCCTGGTATGTACTGGCTGCATTGATTGTGGTTTTTTTTTTTTTTGGTGAGGTAATCAAGGTTAAGTGACTTGCCCAGTGTCACACAGCTAGGAAGTGTCAAGTGTCTGAGGCTGGATTTGAACTCAGGTCCTCCTGACTCCAAGGCCAGAGCTCTATCCACTGTGCCACCTAGCTACCCCGGCTGCATTGATTGTGGCAAGTAACTTAACCTCTTTGTGCTCTAGGTAGCTGTCTAAGACTAAGTTGCAGAGCAGTGGTTGATCTGCATTGTTCAGGGAATTCCTCACAATAATGTCTCTACACACATGGAATCGTAGGATGGCCAAAAATAAATATCCCATGCTATACTGTTCTATCTTTAAATTGTAGTAACTTTGCCAACACTGAATATTTTTTCTTTGGGGGAGCCCACTGACATTGTAATGTTCAAGTCCAGAATTATGCTAAACTAAGAACTGCTTTTGCTCATGGGCTGAACCTGCATCTCCTCCATCCTGAGTCCCTCTTGGGCTGAAGGTTTGGTTGGGTCCAAAGGAGGAAAGTCTTTCAGGTCTTGGATAAAATTTAAGCTCTCAAGTGAAAGTTCAACACTGATTATCAAATTGTTTTCTCATATTAAATTTTGTAACTCCTTTTCCATTTGACCCATTTTACTTTCAAAGGAGTCCTCCCCAGTGAGTTTTTGTGCCTCTTTTTCCATTTGATCAATTCTGCTTTTTAAGGAATTGTTTTCATCAGTGTGCTTTTTTTCCATTTGGCCAATTGTATTTTTTAAGGACTTGTTTTCTACAGTTAATTTTTGTCTTTCTTTTTCCAGGCTGTTGACTGTCTCTTGCATACCTCTCATTTCTTTTCACAATTTCTCTTCTACCTTTCTTATTTGACTTTTAAAATCCTTTTTGGGCTCTTCCAAGAAAGCTTTTTGGGCTGGAGACCAGTTCATATTCCCTTTTGAGGTTTCAGATGTGGGTATGTTGACAATGTTATCCTCTTCTGAATTTCTGCCTTGATCTTTCCTGTCCCCATAATAAGAATCGATGGTCATTGTACATTTCTTTTTTGCTTGTGGTGTTTGCTTATTTCCTGATCTTTAAAAAAATTGAGGTCTCTTGCCCAGGAACAAGGGGCACTGACCCAAGCTTCTTGTGCTGGGAGCTCAGGGACTGGTTTTGTGTGCTGGGGCCTCCGGTGCTGGCAGTTGATGGCTGTAGGGGTCTGGCAGCTTACCTGGTGTTGGGCTGGAATCAGTAACAGTGGAGCTCTAGGGGTAGGAGTGAAGAGTCTGGCCCTGGAGCATGCCTGCTCACCTGGGTCCTTTGCTCCTTTCTTTGGCTCCTGCTCACCCAGGCCTTGCAGAGAGATGTTTCACTGCTGTAGGATGTTTCTCTTGGAGTTGTATTTTCCAGAGTTTTGCTGAGGTACTGGGAGACTTGGCTGCAGGAGAACACTGTGGCACATGGTGGTTTTCTGAGCCAGTTTCCACTGGTTCCCCTGCCTGTACTGAGGCACTTGGGGGTCCTGGTGTGGCTGCTTGCCTGCTCCACCACCCTGGGGTTGAGGATCTCCTCCTACTATGCTGAGGTAGGGCTTCCCACTAGCTTTCTAGGACCCCTCCAATTCTGTACTGCTCCCCCTCTCCCTGAGCAGGTGGGGCCTTTCCTGCTAATCCTCCAACCTTCCTGGGCTACAAGACTGCTGCACCCCTTCTTTCTGTTGGTTCAGCTGTTCCAAGGTTTTTCTTGGGGTGATATTTTCTGGGTTTCCAGAGGTCAACAAAGGAGGATGAGTGACTTACTTCTTACTCCATGATCTTGGCTCCTGGAAGCCTCAACACCGATTAGAGCTGGGAGCATCTCTGCCACTCACATAAAACTGGAAGAACATGTTGGTTCACACTCGTACAATGCTTTGCTGTTCAGCAAAGCATTTCAAAAGGAACGTACTGAATGCTAACTACGTACCAGGCACTGTACGTACAGAAAAAAAGAGAAAACATAGTTCATTCCCCTAAGGAATTAAAATGGAACGAGGAAGATAAGGCATGTGCACAAATAGCTTTACTCCAAGGTAGAATATACTAATGGGAAAGGAGAGATGGAAGCAAAGTGCTATGAGAAATTTGAGTATGGGGAAATGACTTCCAGCTGGCAGAATTAGGAAAGACTTTGTCAGGAAACAGCACCTGAATTGGGGCTTGAAAGAAAGGAAGTGGAGGGAAAGGGAAAGCATGAGCAAAGGATAATGAGATCCAGAGTTGGAAAGGACTTCATCAACCATCTAGTCCAATTCCCTCATTTTATAGTTTCCTAAATGAGGCCCAGGGAACTTAAATTATTTTGCAAGGTCACACAGCTCAGACTGAGGGTCTGAGTCTTTCTGACTCCAAGCCCAGTCTTCTACTCACTATACTCCTGACTATACATGAAGCAGATAGGATGACACTGAGGGATGATTAATAGCCTAGTTTGACTAAGAGTATATGAAGGGGATTGAATTTGAATTAGATAACTCTATGAAGAAAGAATGGAATCATGTAGACAGTTTTAAAAGTAAAGAAAAAAGACCTTACACTCTATCCTTTAGACAGTGGAGAATCACTAATGGTGTTTGATAAGAGTCCTATTTTAAAGGTTACATTACCAAGATTATAACAGAAAGAATAGAGAGACTGGAGGCAGACAGACCCATTACAAGGTATTGCTATTGTCCCACTGATAAGTGATGACTTGTCCAGAGTCATAAAGCTAGTAAAAAAAATACAAATCACATTTATATGTTACTTTATGTTTTTTAAAGCAAATTGTCAGGATTGGAATTCAAACCTACTCATATTACAGGAACAAAATTTATCCTACTGCACCATTCTATCTTTAATTAAGGTGTCTTTTTTTTTGAAGCTGCCTCTCCCTATGTCTCCCAGTTGGAAGGACAGGGGTTACTCATTGGCCTCATCTAGTCATCACTGGTCAACACAGAAACTTTGATTTATTCTGTTTCTGACCTTGGTCATTTCACTCCCTCCCTAGAAAACCTGGTAGCCCCCTGCTCCAAAGAACTTGACATATTGAGACCAGTTTAGTCCCATTGCAGCTTAGAAGTTCTGAGCTCAGAACAACCTTCAAATTCAGCCTCCCTCATAGATGGGACTACAGTGTAAGCCACCACATCCAGCACTAAGGTGTCTTAGCAGTACTTAGCACAGTATGCGTCACCTAGTAGGTGCTTAACATATGTTTGTTGATTGATTGGCTAAAATGTGCTTTTCCAGGATTGTATTGCCTTTGAACCCAGCACAGAAATGATGGGATAAAAAAAATGGATTTGGGGGGGAAGTCTTACTAGGGCAATAAGAGGAATGAGGAACCTTAGTATTTTAAATAATGTGCCTTTAGCACTTAGGAAAGAAAAACATGAATGTTGCTTATAACCATTTAGTGATTTTTGAGGAGAGGGAATTAAAACCTAAAACATTATTTTAACAAGTCCTCTTTCTATGTAGCAGAGAACTCAGCAAAATTGCCCTCTAGGTTAATTTACTACTGAGATGTTCCTTTTTTTGGGTGATTGCAGGAGATGAAGTTTGCTATCCAAGAGTTGGATGCTTTACAGATGATAAACCATGGGGTGGCATTGTACAAAGACCCTTTAAAGTGCTCCCCTGGTCTCCACAAGACATCAACACCCGTTTTCTTCTGTATACCAATGAAAGCCCAAACAAGTATCAAGTAAGTCTTGCTATTTCTCTAAGATTTGTGACTTGTGCATATTATTTAGAGGAAATAAAAGGCTCCTAGATTTCCTAGCTCCTCACTGAACATACACCAGAGAAGACAATTAGAATCTTTGGAGACTTTTTAGAAACAATAAGATCCAGTTTTACTTTACTGTGAATTTTCAAGGGAGTCACTTGTTTGTCTTATGTCAAGTCAAGTCAAGTCAACAAGCATTTATTAGGTACCTACTATGTGCCAGGCTCTGTGCAGACAGAGGAAAACAAAACAATAGTCTGTGCTCTCAAAGAGTTCAGAGTCTAATGGGGAAGACCACATGCAAACAACTAGGTAAACAAGGTGAAGATCTATATTTCATATTTAAACTATCAATAATTGCCTTAGATATAATAGATAAGGATCAACTCCTCCTTCTAGGTCATATTTTTGCACATTCAAACGGCTCTCACTATCATTACTAGAGCTTATGTTTCACACTGTATTTCCCATGTGATGGCAGAGTCCTGTGATATTAACCAATTAGCCTGTGATTTGCAACAGTGTCAGTGTGGCTATGAAGACCTCTTTCACAGAAGCTTTTCCCCTCAAGTCTAAAGCATCATATTTCAGAAAATAGAGAGGTTGATAAGCAATTTTTCTCTTCTTAACACAGGAAATTCTTCCAGACAATTTAGTATCTGTCAAAAGCTCTAATTTCAACAAGAATAGAAAAACTCGATTTGTTGTTCATGGCTTCATAGACAAAGGTGAAGAAGACTGGTTGACAAGCGTATGCAAGGTAGGATAACAGCAGCAGTAAACCCCAGCCTCTCATTCTCTTATACTAATCTTTACAGGGCCCCTTCCTCCCACAGCACTGTCAGGAGAATAGAACAACTTTTATTGTCCTCTTTCTGTACATGTGAGAACTGAGCAGTCAAATGATGTCCCTGATGCTCACACTTCCAAAAAAAGCAGTGAAGTGTAGTAGAAAATGCATGGGACTTAGAATCAAAGGAAGTGGGTTTCAATCCTGCCTTTGATGCTTCCTACTTGTGATCCTATGACCAGTTTGTAAGGGAAGTAGCAAGCAGAATCTTTGGACTCCCTGACCAACGTTCTTTCTACCTTACCATTTTGCCTCTGATTATACTCTTATGATGCCACTAAAGATACTCTCTTAGTCTTTATTCAGGTTTTCTCATTAGTCTTGGATTCCCAAATGAAACACTTGGCAAAGGACAAACTTATTCCATCACCCTTGATTTCTGCTCATTGACTTCTCACTGACAGCAAAAGATGTACACCTCCTCCATCCATTTCATCTTTACTTCTGCTTTCAATGTTTGAAACCTAGAAATGATTGTTTCCCTCTGATCATAAAAATTATAAAAAAAGAATTAAGAGATTTTGCCTTTTAACCAAATATAATCAGTTTCCCGTAGCCCAAGGATATAAAAAAATATATTGTTATGACCCCATTCATTAATTAACTCATTCAGAAAGTATAAACTGATAGCCTACTGCGTGCTGAGAAGAACATTGACTTCTACAAAAATCCCAAACGTAATCAGTCACAGATTATGCACATTTCTAGAGTTTTAGCCTAATGGCTAATCCCTTCCTTTCATTCCTTTCCATGGATTATTTATTAGACATTTATTAATTACTCAATATGTATAGAGACACCTTGATGGCCCCTGGTCATTTGGTATCATTTAGTTCATTGAAAGGCAATCCACCATGATCATGGAGATGAGGCCAACTGTCCTATTGTAATCTACCCTTTCCACACTTTTACACATGATGAACTCTACTAATTTTCTAAAGTAAATGAAAACTGGAGAGAGAAAATCTAGACAACAATGAAGGAAAACCATTATAAAATCATTTTTCCTACAAGTGAGGATGCAAGCTACAAAGGAACATTTGTTGACACCGTCAATTTGTTCTAATATCATAGACACAAAATTTCCTCTGACGTGGTAGGAATTATACATGGAAAGAGCACTGTTTTGGAAGTCTAATCCTGGTTTTAGCATTTATTAGCTGTGTGCCCTTTTCGGAGTCATCTGCCAATTCTAGGTTTCAGTTTCTTCAGTTATGAGAGGGAGCATGGAGAACAAGCAATGGATGTATAGTCAGAAATCTGGGGTTGAAATTCCAGCTCTGATATTTACTAAGAGTGTGCTTTTGGGGCATTTTTGCTTTTCTGAATTTTGGTTTCCTCATCGATAAAATCAAGGGATTAGAGTAGATAACCACACATAGTCCTGATTCTATTGTAAGGTGTTTGACTGGGTGATCTAACTTTGTGGGGCTGAGTAGTGCAGTGGATAGTATTTTGACTTTAGATTCAGGATGATCTGAGTGCAAATTATGCCTTAGACAACACTAACTGAGTGATCCTAGACATGTCAACTAACCTCTCTTAGCCCTGGTTTCTTCATCTATAAAATAGAGATGATATAACGAAGTTAACACATGTAAAGTGCTTTGTAAATGTTATAATTCTATGTAAATGCTATTCTTATGTTTCCTTTCAGTCCTAATATTCCCTGTACAGTACTCTAACAGTTATAATTCTCACTTTCGCTTACATTCTCAAGAAACAGTGGCTCTTTGATTGAGGTAGTGAGGTTACTAAAGAGACAGATCTTAAGTGTCCATGTTCTAGACTTCTGAAGCCAGGCAGAGGAAGGTCGAAAGGCTGTCCAATGAATGTCTAGTGGGGTGAGGCACCTGCAGTCTCCAGGCCATATGTGGTCCTTTAGGTCCTTAAGTGCAGTCTTTTGACTGAATCCAAACTTCACAGAACAAATCCCCTTAATAAAAGGATCTGTTCTGTAAAACTTGGACTCGGTCAAAAGCTGCTTCCAAGGACCTAGAAGGCCACCTGTGACTTCCAGGCCCGAGGATCCCCATGCTTGGACCTCCTCAAGGGTTCTTCTCCAGGTGTGCTCTGATTTGTTGCTTGAGTGAACAGGGCCTCAGGCCTCTGCTGGTGGGACATGGCTGTCAGAAGCCAAGAGATCTTTCATTTTCTCTTCCTCAATGCCTCCCTCTTCAAGCATTCGGCAAACTTCAATTCAACAAGCATTTACATTAATTGCCTGGGTTCTCAGAAAGCCTGACTTTCTGTGAAGAAGCCAAGATGGGAGGGGGGGAGTCCTCAATAGAGCCATAACTAGACAAATGTGACAAATTTATTTGGGTATGTGAGGGCCATGGTGGTACAGAAAAACCATTACTCCTCATGGAGACAACCTGTCCCCTATCCCCAAATAGTCGTAGCACTTGTATATACTGGATTTGGGACTGGGGGGAGAGAGGAAGCTGGTCTCCAGGAAAGGCAACTGTAACTACAGGATTGTAGCCAGAGCGGATTGCATCCCATATTCCACTTCACATCCCTCGTGGGATATCAGCTCCCTGGAGCAGAGCCCCATTTGCCCCCTTTTCCCCATGCTAGTTCTGGCTCCATAGGAAGGTACACATGCCTAGAAGGGCCAAAGGTTTGAACTACATATCTGCAGGATATTATTTTTATGTGCAATACCATTCTAATGATATAGCTGTAAAGATAATTATATGGGTTAGTCCAGAAATCCCTTTAGTTTCTTTGAAAACAGGGTATTTCAAAACAAACTTTTTCAATTACCAAATATACTCACCTCTAAAGGGCCCAGTAGGGGAAAACTCTGTACACAGACAAATCCCTGATATTGTTTAATAAGAGCAACATATTGTATATCATACTTCCTGTAGTTTCCCATGAAACACATTTCACCAACATGCTACAATGGAACCCCTCAACAGAGTCCTTGATGATCGATCTTCAGACACCAGTTTTCAGCAGGGTCAGATTAATAGTTGGGAATGTTAAATGTCAAAGAGTGGTAATCCAATATTGCACTATCCTAAAATGTTTTTGTTGTTATTAATTGATGTATTTCTTCATAGTTTTTAAGATCTTGAACAGACCACATAGAAAATGAAGTTTATTATGCTTGTAAGTGATAAGTAAAATAATCTTTAAGATATGGGTGTTCTAACACTGCTTTGATGATTAAACTATTTATGTTGTATTTGTTCTAGAATTTGTTTAAAGTGGAAGAGGTAAACTGCATCTGTGTGGACTGGAAAAAGGGTTCACGGACTTTATATGCCCAAGCCTCACAAAATATTCGAGTAGTGGGGGCTGAAATAGCCTATTTTGTGAATTATCTGAAGGTAACTATGCTTCTTTATGTTATCTCACACTCTCTATCCATTGTCCTCTGAAGGCTGTGCTCATACAATTGCTCGAGGTCATTGTCAATCTTTCTATAAAGAGTATTTCATTTGTTTTGGTTGACCAGAATGGAATGTAGTATGTCTGCATTTGGATTTTTGTCTGCAAACAATGATGAAGGCAACTCAGTGTATATAGCGTTAGATCTTGAGTTAGGAAGACTGAGTTCAAATCTGGCCTCAGACACATACTGGCTGTGTGACTCTAGGCAAGTTGCTTAACTTCTCTCTGACATAGTCTCCTAGTCTGTAAAGTGTGAGTAATAATAGCATCTGCTTCCCTAGGTTGCTGTGCAGATAAAATGAGACAGTATTTGTTAAGTGCTTTGCAAATTTTAAAGCACTGTATGAATGCTGTTATTAGTATTATTACAAACACAGACCTATATTTTTCATTTTGACTAAATTCCCTGCTCAGTTCAGTTTTAACAAAAAAATTATGCAACTAATTTGATTTGGCCCACCCCCCAGTCTCCTACAAGTAATTTTCATCAGTTGGTTGACTGAATTGTGCTAGTTTTTAATATTACAGTGCCTAGGTAATTGTCAAGGGTCAAGTTATTTGTGCATGTGTCGATACAAGCTTTTAGGAAATGTTGGGAAGCACTGGGGCACAGTGGAAAGAATACTTGATTCAGAGTCTGAGGATGTGAGTTCAAATTCCAGCTCTACTACCTAACTAGGTTCTGTGAGCTTTGGCTAGTCAATTTTCTGGCAGTCAATTTTTTGGCTAGTCAATTTCCATTTCTTAATATGGAAATGGCTGAACTGGATGACCTCCAAGGGCCCTTTCACCACTAAATCTATGATACTATGATCAATACACTTTTTCTCCAAAAGACACAAGAAATATCTTAGACTCAACATAGTGGCTGGGTAATTCTTTATTATCACTTCCTATTCCAAATCTTTGCTTTGGGAAGCTTCTAACAATTCTCCATGGTAGGTTTAGTATCACATCTTCACCTTCTCAAAAACACAACAAAAGAATCATAAAGACATGTTGCTTAAGACAAGAAGTAAGTGCAGAATAAAAGCCATAAATCATTAATACTTTAGTATTTGCCCTCCTTGAAAACTTAGAAATATCATTTCCCTGTTGAAGGGAAGTGAGAAGTCACTCTCAATAAAGACTCTCAAGGAGTGTATCATGAACATGTCACTAATACCAACCTAGCCATTTCTGAAGGCCTTTTGTCTCATCAGACCGAACTTGGATACTCTCTTTCCAATGTCCACATCATTGGTCACAGTCTGGGATCGCATGTTGCTGGAGAGGCTGGGAGAAGGTCAAATGGTCTCATTGGACGAATCACAGGTAGGATTAAAATGGTGAAAACTGCAACTTTGTGCTAACATTACCATAATATAATTAAGACATGAGGGTGAACATGATGGGAAGTTGATGGTCTTTTAAGTGTCATGTAAAATGTTAGAATGCTGCTTCATTTTGCCTGCTATGAGCATCATATAGGGAGCACCTATATAAAATTTTGTATTTTTTGGAAGAGAGCCTGGGTCTTATGATATTTCCTGCCCTGGGATAATTTGGTAATTTTACCTCACAAAGATAATCTTATCCTTGATATGAGATGAAATTTTGGGGGAACATTGACTAAAAAGCTATTTTAGACTTTTATTGCTTCCCTTCTTTTCATCTCTAACAATATGGCTCTGTTAAACCAACCAGCAAAACTTATGGATTCTCTGAAAAAATCTGTTTTCTGCCTTTGTATTTTAACAGCCTAGTAGGGGTATTTAGAAAAAAAAAAATTATCTGATATATTTAGAGTGTTTAGTTAAAGGAGAGAAATTCTCCATAAAATTTGAACCTTTTTTTATAGGCTAAAAGTAACCCATCCTTCTATTTCCCTCAAGCTTAATACCACCGTGGTTTGATTCAATGATTGACAGTTGTCAAACTGTTTATAATTGCCCTCTGTAAATTGAAACCTAATAGTAAATTCTGTGACACTCGGAAAAGTCATTTTATAACATAGATTGCAACAAAAGAACCAGAGATATTCTAAAAATAATAAGAAATTCAAACAATCTTTCCCCACAATTATCCATATACATATACACGTAAGATCTTGGGGCAAGTCACTTGACCTTCTTAGCCTCAGTTTCCTCATCTTCAGAAGGGAGATAATAATTACTCAAATTACATATCTTAAGGGAATTTTGTGAGGGAAATGTATTATATACACTTAAGCACTACTTAATGGTGAAGTATTATTAATTATTGTCGCCATATAACACACCAAATGAAAGTAAATATATCTACAGGTATTCTCTATAACAGTTCTTGGGGGTAAGAACCAGAACTGTAATTTCACTGATAAAATGAATTCTTGGATGTTGAGTGACCAATTCAGGTCACCACTTTATAGTCTTAGAGAATCGCCGAAAACATAGAAAGGTTAAGCTACTTGCCCAAAGTGACCAATCTTTTGTGATCGATTACAAATCAAAGGGAGGAATAAACCCATGTCTTCTTGTTTGGCAGTTAACTCTCTATACACCATGTCATAGCCACCACTTGATAATGGTTTATGTTATATAAGTTAAAAGAATATAACAAAAATGTAACAATATTTCTTCCAGGATTGGATCCTGCTGAGCCTTACTTTGAAGGGGCCCCAGAAGAAGTTCGATTGGATCCCAGTGATGCTTTGTTTGTTGATGTCGTTCACACAGATGCTGCTCCTATCATCCCTAACATAGGTAAGCCCTTCTCCTTGAATCTTGCAACTATGACCAGTCATAATTAAGTTTTTGGCAATGCCTTTAAACCCACTTACCACTTGTTTCAAATGTCTTAGGTTTTGGAACGAGTCAAATTGTGGGACACCTCGATTTCTTCCCAAATGGAGGAGAAGAAATGCCCGGATGTCAGAAGAATATCCTTTCTCAGATTGTAGATATAAATGGAATCTGGCAAGGTAAATCCGTTCAGCATATAACAAAAGTTATTAGGAAAATGCATGTTACTGTCTTGCCAAATTTGCCAAGGTGTTTAGCCAACACCTTGCCTTTTCAATAGTATCTACTGTTGTATGAGACCTCCCTCCTAGAGTGGAGGTAGATAGATATGAAAGGAAATGGGTTTGTGAAATATTTTTATTGGGTCAGTCTAGCTTGTCTTTTAATAAACTATGGAACTTGAATACATCCATTATGCCTCAAAATAAATTCCCCCTTCTCATATATACTTGGCTCTATTTTTGTAAGCACTAGCTTGTTTTCAGAATCAGAATGGTCTAGCGGTTAGAGAGCTGATCTCAGCGTCAGGGAGACCTTGGGTGAATCCTACCTCTGACAAGTACTGTTTGCTTGATGCTGGGCAAGTCACTGACTCTCTTGGTACCCCATTTTCTCACTAAGTTGAAAAGAATGAACCAATCTTCACTGGTAGAGGAACTCTCTTCCCAGGAGCTACATATGTTGATATAATGACAAGCCTTGTCGGACAATACTTAGTGATAGCTGAATATATCACAAAATAGATTATAGTTTTAAAAAAGTGTGATATGTCATAAATTTTCAATTATAATTTTGGATCAAAAAAATAATAGTGTCCCTTCTGTATGATCCCGTTTAATTTCACAGGAACTCGTGATTTTGCAGCATGTAATCACCTGCGAAGTTACAAGTATTATACAGATAGCATCCTCAACCCAGACGGCTTTTCTGGATACCCCTGTGCTTCCTACAAGGATTTTGAGGCAGTAAGTTATTGCTTACCATGCGAATCAGCATTGCATACAGCATAGAGAACTTGGGTTCCAAGTCCATAAAAGTTGGGTTCTCTTCCTATCTGTGGCACACATTAGCTTGACCTTGGGCAGGTAGCTTAACTTCCCTGTGCTCTGGAAAGGTGCTGATTTACTATGATAGAGGGAATTTTGTTACCATGAGCTTTCTTATAAATAAGATCATATATCAAGAACAAGAAAAAAAGTATTTTTCTACACAGAATAAAAGACTTGGAAGGAACAAGGACCATTTAGGCCATTTAATGCAAACTATACTTGTAAGCAATCTTTATTACAACATGTCTGATAAGTGACCATCCAGGAGCTATTAAAGGCCTCCACCAAGGGGGACTCATCACCAGCCCCTTTGTACTATTGGAAATTCTACTTGTTAACAATTTTTTTTATTATCATGTAGCCCCTTTTCTACTCATAATTTCTGGTTCTGTGTACTGGGACTCAATAGAACATTTTTAATCCCTTTCATTTAACAGTTCTTGAGATAGCTATCAAGTGTCTCCTGTTTCCACTTTTCTCAATAATAAACACCTTCAGTTCCTTCAATCCTTAAGACCAAGTAGATGGAGTATATGCAAGTCTCTCATTCCCCCAAATCTCTGTAGAATAGCTCAGAACATTGTAATATAGTGTAAAGAGTACTGAACCAGAAATTAGATGACCTGGGTTCCAGTCCTATTCTGACACTATGTGACCTACAGCATTGTCTCTAGGGCTCCAATTTATTTATCTGGAAAATGAGGAAAGTGGACCAGATTTCTCCAAGTCCCTTCCAGCTTTAGCATTTATTGATTTCTAGTATTGTCTTCCACACAAACTACATATTGAATCAATATTGCTACATGAGTCTACCTTAGATCATATAATCTCACACAATGGTATTAGCATTTTTCATGGGACATATGGAAATTTTCACTTTTGTTTAAATTATGTTAATGATTGTCTCATCCTTCCATTCCCTTATAGTCACTGGTTAAGTATTTGTTTCATTTAGGGTCATTTTAGAAACTTTCTTTGCAAGCTAATGTCTCTCTGCTACCAAATTGAAAAATGCAATTAAAATAAGAAAGTTTATCAAAAATATGGATAATCTAAACATCCTAGTAACAGATTGGATTTTTCAGTTTTGTCCAGTGCTGTAGCATAGTACACACAGAGCTTTAGATTCCTTATGAAGGAAAAAAGATTTTCTCAGGTATCTATTGCAGCATTATTGTGTTGTGATCTTGGATCTCAAATATTGATAAGGTTCACCCAATTACTTTTAAAAGCTAGCTTTTCTGGAGCAGCTAGGTGGTGCAGTGGATACAGCACCGGCCCTGGATTCAGGAGGACCTGAGCTCAAAATCTGGCCTCAGACACATAACATTTACTAGCTTTGTGACCCTGGGCAAGTCACTTAACCCCATTGCCCAACCAAAAGAAAAAAAAAAAGCTAGCTTTTCTTTAGTTCTTACAAATGTTCATTCTAAAAATGATCAGTGCTGAATGTCATTTAACAATGAGAAACATCTCAAGTTCTAGTTGGTAGTTATGTCACAAGAGACACTGCACTGGAATTTGTGTTAGAAACACCTGAGTTCCCATTCTACCTCAGAAAGCTACTAGTGATGGGACCCAAGGCAACTAATTAAATCTCTCAGCCTCAGTTTCATCATCTGTAAAATGGGGATAATAATCACACCTACCTTACAGGTTGTGCTATAAGGACCAAAGGAAATAACATGTGTAAAGTGCTTGGCAGTCTCTATGTGCTATATAAATGCCATCTATGATTATTAGGTGGGGGAAGGGAAGGTCATAATTCCATATTCTGTTGTTAGGTTATGCTAACACTCAGTGCAAGTTTGTTGAAAACTGCCTTCATCATTCACTTTAAGCTACCAGTTCTACAAACATTTATTATATTAAATAGACTTAGTCTGCAGGATAGGATAATTCCTCCTTATATTTTTTTTCTCAACTGTTATGAAGGTATCCGAATTCTATTTGCTTTTTAGATAATTGAATCGATAGAGTGAGTGTAGGGATGTAAGACTGGAAAGATGGCATGTTTTCTCATTAACCATTTATGTATTTTCATCAGAATAAGTGCTTCCCTTGTCCATCTGGAGGGTGTCCACAGATGGGCCACTATGCTGACAGATTTGCTGGTAAAACGAGCTCAGTGGGAAAGGTCTTATATCTGAATACTGGAGAGGCCAGTAATTTTGCTCGTAAGTTTCCATTTGACTTTCCTCATTTCCAAAACTCTGTGAAATTGTTATTGCTTATTGGAAAGACTTCCTCCAGTACATACAGAAAAAGGAAAGGAGTGACCATATTTAGGAGATGACTACTGGATACTGATGGCCAGTTTAGAGGAAGTAGTAGATTTTCCTTGGTCTGAGAAATCTGGATGACAGCACAGCATGGGTCCACTGTTAAACATGTTGGATGTAGAAATGGACCTCTCTTTTCCAACTATTCTTGAAACACATTGCCAAATATCCAGAGGTTTCACAAAATAAATTTCTTAGATTCTGTGGGTGTGATATTGGTACATGACCTCGGGGTCCTTAAACATACAACCATGTTTTCTATTGTGAATGTTAAAAAACAACAGTTTGGACAGTCAGTTTTTTTTTTTTATGCTGCTTACCCAATAAATGTTGAAAGATCAACTCTATAAGGTGAACTAGCAACTTATTCATAGCTGAAAGTATATAAAGAATCTGATAATAGCTTTATATAGTAGAATGTGACATCATTTCTATGTGCTCTGGCCAAAAATGAAAAAAGGGAAGAGAGGATAGAGAACCAGAGGATAAAATTGTGGAAGACACCTTTACTTCACAATTTTGCCCTCACACTGACCCAGCAAGATTGTTGTGTTGTGTAGATGAGCCACGTTGAGATAGTGTGGCAGAGTATGTAGATTGAGGAACTCGAAATATGGAAGACCTAGATTCAATACCGCTTCTAGTCCCTCTTAGCTCTATGTCTCTGGATAAGTTCCTTGATCTCTCTTACTCTGTTTCCTCATACGGTAAATGAGAGTGTTAGACTAGATGGCCTCTACAATCCCTTCCAGCTCTGAATTTTTGATATTACAATAATATTATACAGTTGAAAGATTACTGGGCTTAAAGTCCAATATGAAGCAAGGTTCAATTCCATGCTCTGCTAGATGCTTATATCAATATGTGACTTTTGTTCAATAACTCATACTTTCAAAGCCTTGGCTTTCTCATCTATAATGCAGGGATTAAAACACTCTTTCATGAAGTTTTTTGTGAGAAAAACATTTCATAAGTTGTCAAGCATCATGATAGTGATGTCTAAGTTGGTGAAGTAACCATAAATAAAATAACTTTTTTTGATATAAAATTTACAAATTTGGAAAAATTTCAGCTTGAGTCAGAGGAAAAAATAATTTAATGAAAAATATCAATTATAGACTATTTTAAAGGAAATGCTGTTTTAAGAAAGCAGAAATCCCAAGTAAAGTCATAAATATGTAGCAATAAAATGTAAGGAACAGGAGAGTAGAAAAAAAATATTGGACAAAGTGTCAACAGACCTCAAGTCTTGGGCTGGTTTTGCCACTAATTAACTGCATGACTTTGTGCAAAACCATAATAGGTTGAGTGCTGAAGTTGGTTGTTGACTTTAGTTTGAATTCATTTTATTAGTAAGAAGTGAAAATTTGAAAAAAAGGAATTATTTAAAACTTTGCATCCAATAAAAATCATTCATGCTATAATTAAATTATCATATATTTTACATGAATGCTATCTAAATTAAGTTTTTACTGAAATGTCTTTCTATTTATATATTTATATTTATACATTTAATATATTTATTTCTTCATAATTCTATTTCTACCTTTCTCTATAGGTTGGAGGTATAAAGTAACTGTCACATTGTCTGGAACCAAGGTTACTGGAACAGTAGTAGTTTCTTTGTTTGGAAGTAATGGAAACAGCAGGCAATATGAAATTTATAAGTGAGTTCAATATTATCATATATCTTAAATGTTGGAATTATTACTTCATATAAATGTGTTTTGCCCAAATTACTGGTTATATTTTCATCGCTATAAAAATTAACAGTACTAAGATATATATTTTATTAAATTAATCACAAGAATTCATTTTGAAGAGTTCACCCTGAAATTGACTTCAGACTTTGGTTTCTAACTTTGGTGCATTGCTACTTACTGGACAAATCATTTATTTTTATTGCATAAGATGATTATTTTGTTCTTGTCACCAGGTGTTTAATTTATAATCAGTAAATAATAATGCTGCTAACACAGCAGATGGAGGAAGGAGACTTAATGAGGTCATCACTTATTAAATTATAGAAGAAAGTTGTGACCAATACATGTTAAAATACTACGAGACACTTGGGACATAAATTGCAACTATGCTTGTGTGTCTTTTTGCTTTTGTTTAATACATTGCTAACACAATTTTATTAGCAAAAAATATATCATATATAGATTTTATAAGTAAACATATATGTAGAGATTCCTGTACTTGAAGTTATTATCTACTTCTCTTCTAAGGGGGAGCCTAAAACCAGGTTCTACACATACTAATGAGATTGATTCAGATTTCAATGTTGGAACAGTTCAAAGAGTTAAATTTCTTTGGGACAACAATGTGATCAATCCAACCCTGCCCAAAGTAGGAGCATCGACGATCACTGTAGAAACTTCTGATGGACAAAAGTAAGTCTTTTTTTATTGTGAATCAAGAGAGACAGGAAGTATGGAGAGGCATATCTGTAATATACTGACCCAGAAAATATACTTTGAGGTATATTTGTTTCAGTAGCCTTCTCATATTACCTTTAGCTTATAGGTAAAATATTTCATGAGATGATAGCCTACTTTAGGAAAATTGAAGTTTTAAAGATGTATTGTTTGGTATTGTGTCATCCAATAAAAGTCTATGGAAAGGTCAGAGTTTGACCCTGAGATTCTACCATCATGAAATTCCAATTACTTAAGTATGTCTCTACTTTATGTACTTCAAAGGAGTATCAAATCACAGAATTTAGAGAGAGGAGGAACCTTAGAAATCACCTAATCCAAGTCTCATTGTATAGATGAAAAAATGAGGCTCAAACAGATGAATGAACTTACAATGTCATACAAGTAGTAAACATTTAACTGGTTCTAGGAAAACATAAAGTTAAGGGAAATGGCCTCATAGATGGCAGTGGTTACTAATAAGGAAAATCATTTAAGGATCATGTACCAATTTCTTCCTCCATAGTTTCTGAGCCAAGATAATCCTATTCCACGTGTTTTTGGAAATGTCTAGTATAGTTCAAGTACTGCTATTGAGCTAAAATGTGAGAAAAGCCAAACATAAAAAAAAAACAGAAGTAGGAAAGGAATATTTTACTCTAAACTGGTTTCTTATGCTGCTTCATTTATTTATTTAACATTTAGCAAATATTTACTGAGTGTCCATTAAATGTGGGACAAGGTGCTAGAAGGGAATAAAAAGATGAATAAAAGTTTCTTAAAGATTTTTTCTTATTTTTATATTCTCAGTATTTAGCAAAGGGCCTTGTATATGATACATAGTAGGTGTTTAATAAATGCTGATTTAATTATTAAATTGAATTGATCATGCTAACTGTCCTCATAGAGCAGGAACTTCAGGAAATATGCAGTATTGTGCTCAAATTCAGTTTTCCAAATGGTGTTCCACAGAATCCTGGTATTCAGTCCCCAGGGTGCATAAAGGTTCTAGGATAGTATTCTGAAGTTAGCAATATTTTCCTATCTAAAACATCAAGTACAAAATTATGTACCAAATGCATTTATTACCTGAAGTATTTTTAATGAAAAAAAAATAGGCTTATTTCCACTTTTTCTTTAAAATATTGTTGACATTCCTTTATTCTGGAGGCATTCCATACCCCTAGATTTCCTTGACCAGCACCTAACACAGTGCCTGGCATGTAGTAGGTGCTAAATTCATGCTTGATTTTTTGATTGATTGATTATGGGTTCTGTCATTATTTTTAAAGCTTATTATCATTGTGGCCAAATTAATTTTGCAAATGCCTTATTAAATAGTTAGCAATATTTAAAAATACACAAAGTCCATTCCCATTGCTCTGGGCCTTGCTGTTCTTGAAGTTTTTTGGAAGGTCCTTAGTCGGACACACTTGAGGCCAAAACTTAAAAATCAGCAGTTGGGAAATATCCTCTACCTTCTCCCCTTTTCAATACAGTGGCTTTGATTCTGGAACCCTTCTTCTCTGTCAGCTTTACTTTCTTCTTGATGAGGTCTAGAGGTTTAGGGGTGCTGGGACCCTGAGATCACAACACGTGGGCCCTGCCTGAAAGAATTCAACCCAAATCTTCTTTCAGCCAGAGAAAAAGTTTATTAGAGATAAATCATATAGGCCTGATGACGCCCATAAGGAGTTGGCATGAAAAAGTCTCAGTGTTTAAATGGGGGCCAGGGTGTATCTTATATACACTCAAGTAATTTTGGGTGACCAGAGCAGGGTCTGGGAAGAGGGACTGGGTGACTTAGGGAGAATTCTGATTGGAATGTCTGTGAGACTGAATAAACAATGGGGATAGATAGATTGAATAGATAATGAAACTGGGATGGGAATGTCAGGAAGATTGAATAGGAATAATAGGGCTTTCAAAGGGAGATAAAGAGAGTCAATAAGGAAAAGCCATTGAGTGGAATATAGCCTCAGGTAACAACTTAAGACCAGAGTGAGGTCAAAAAAAGTTTAAGGGTTTTCCTGGGGCCTGTAGACAAATGGGATCCAAATTCTTTTGGGGGCAAGGAGCAAAGGTCTTGGCTTGGGCCCAATCCCTATCATTCCCAGATGGAGTACAAGGGAAGTTTGCAAAATTAGCAAACCCAATCATCTATATTTATACTTTGATACTGTAAAAAAAAAAAAACCCAACAACAAACATTTATCCAGTACCTACTATAATCATAGCTCTCAGTTAAATGTTTGGAAGGTTGCACAATCCTTGCTACAAGTGTGACCCTAAAAGAGTTACTGAATCTCAGGGTCTTATGGTGCTCATAGGGGGCAGCTAGGTGATACAGTGGATAGAACATTGGGTCTGCAGTCAAGGAGACATGAGGTCAAATCCAGTCTTATTTTGCTAGCTGTGTGACCCTAGGCAAGTCATTTAACCACTGTTTGTTTAAAATTCCTCATATGTACAATAAGGATAATGGCAGTCACCTACCTCCCAAGGTTGTTGTGAGAATCAAATGAGGTTATTGTTAAGTGCTTAGTACAGTGCTTTGAACATAGCAAATGCTATACAAATGTTAGTTAGTTAGTTGTAGTAGTAGTAGTAGCAGTGATGAGAATGGGGTGGAGATAGGAGCTGTGGAGGTGGTGTTAATGGAGGATGGGAAGAGGGGGATGCTCTAGCACTAGCGGCCATAAGAGGATCATGCAAAAAGTCTAGTTGATCCCCATTGCCCATTTGTGGGGCAGCTCTAGCTATGAGCATCCTATAATCTTTTCTGAGAATGAGGTCCTGAGAAAGTTCAACAAAAGTCATTATGCAGGGAATCTCCACCCATTTTCCTTCTTTGCTACAATATCTTTCTAACTCTGAGAGAATATGTTGCTGTAATGCCCCCCAAACAGGCCATGCCTCGTATTTTCCAGGTGATACTGAGGCAAAACGGTGTTGCAAAAGAACACCAGCCTTTTCTTTTTTAGTTCTTTAGAGAAACTGAATTTTCCCCAATTTTGTAAAAGAGAGCCCAAAGGCAAATCTTCAGGAATTGAAGAGGATTGATCCTTTGTGGGCATTGGGGTTAGAAGTCCCTCCCTCTTTAGAGGAGGATTTGGGAATAAACCTTGGGAAACAAACAAAAAAACAAAAAGCCAAAGAAGTACCTTGAGTTTTCCCAAGTCCTGAGCGCTGAGAGAATTTAGAGGATTGGGCCTATGTTTCTGGATAGGGAGTTCGAAAGTGTGCCCAGGTCCATGGTCTTGAACAGAATCACTAGAATGAAGGCCTGAGAGTGTCAGGCTGAGTTCAAGACTTCGTAGCTGTCTGACCTAATGGGACTTGAGAGGTCAGATCCAAAAAGCACTTCCAAACCAAGCTTTCTTAATTGCTTGGAAATCCACCCAATTGCAGGGTAAAAAAAAAAAAGAGAGAGAGAGAGAGATTGGGGAAGAGGGAAGGCTTATGATGAGGTCTAGAGGTCAGGGGTGCTGGAACACTGAGATCACTACACGAGGGTCCTGCCTGAAAGAATTTGACCCAAGCCTTCTTTCAGCCAAAGACAAGGTTTATTAAAGATCTGCCATATTAGCCAGACTCTTAAGGAATCTGAAGATCTGTGAGCCATTGGCTAGATTATAAGAATCAGAGCAGTGGCTAGATTTTTAAGAATCTGAGCATCTTAATGGAGACAAGATGGACCTTATATACAGAAAGACTATGGGAGGGATCTAGGAGTGGCCAAGTACCTGGACCATGTGGCCAAGATAGGATTAAGGGTGGAAAGTGGCCTGGGGCCATACGGACAATGGAGGGCTAGGCTAGGTTAAGGGTAACAGAATTGAGAGATTGGCTATAGTCACAATGAAAGGCCAGTTGATGGGATTATAGCCTCAGGGGACCACAAGAGATTTGCCCATATGGGAAAGTCCATGGTTTTTCCTTTTTGGGGTCTAGATCCTATCCTCATCAGTAGTAGTAGTTAGAAGTTAGTAGTAATAGTAGTGGTAGTAATAGTAAAATGAGAGGGTTAGAATAGATTTAATCCAATCAAACAAGCATTTATTAAATACCTACTATGTAAAAGGCACTATCCTAGGTATAGTACCTGACCTCAACATGGCTTATATACTATGTCTCTTCCATCTTTAAGTCCTATGATAAAGGGACTAACAGTTTAATAAAGGAGATATTACTTATTCAAATTACTAGAGTAAAAATATAAAAGCTTATGAGCAATATAAAATGCTGTGAGATAGCTCTAAATATATGCATATGTATAAAGGTAATAATATAATTATAGTTAATAGTCCATTTTTTTTTCTACAGGTACAATTTCTGTAGCAAAGAAACTGTAAGAGAAGATGTTCTGCTAACTCTCAATGCTTGCTAAAAGCATGTTAAATAAAATGATTATTTCCTATAGTAATAAAAGGCAAATGTAAAGGTACTCATTGTATTCATTCATCATTAATATCTACCTTATTTTCATAGCAATCTTTAGTGGTGAAATTTATTTTTAATTAGGGGTTTGTTCTAGAACTATACCTGAACATTTATTGAATTTTCCAAATTATCTTCTGACATTTCACTAAGATGGAATCTCCAAATCATCATTTATCATCATGGATTGGTAATCATTATTCACTTAATGCTACTGTTGAGGTTTAAGGGTGCTGGGACCCCAAGATCACAACATGTGGGTCCTACCTGAAAGAGTTCAACCCAAGCCTTCTTTCAGCCAAAGACAAGGTTTATTAGAACTTCCATCATATTGGGCAGACTCTTAAGGAGTCTGAACATTAATAAGTTATTGTCTAGAGTTTAAGAATCTAAGCATCTTAATGGAGATAAGGTGGACCTTGTATACAGAAAGACTATGGGAGGGACCAGGAATGACCAAGTAGTTTGGGGTGACTGGAGGAGGGGTCTAAGGAAGATCTGAATGTGAATGGCCAGTAAGGTGGGGTGAACAGAACTCCTGGGACCTGAACCTTGTGGCCAAGGGAGAATGGAGCCTAGCTAGGATTAAGGGTAAGAAATGGATTGGGGCCATAGGGAGGTAAGGTGATGGAGAGCTCGGCTAAATTAAGGGTAACAGAGTTGGGAGATTGGGTGTAACCACAATGAAAGGCCAGTTGGTGGGATTATAACCTCAGGCAAATGCCCAAGATTTGGCCATGTGGGAAAGTCCAGAGTTTTTCCTTGTTGGGGTCTAGCTCCCATTCTCATCACCACAATCTATATGTTTTTTTTACTACCATGTCCAGACAGAATGACAAACAGGTGTAATTCCTATACTTTCTATGTTTAGACTGTTAGCAGGAAGGGAAAATGAGCATTTTTTCTGTTGTTTTTGCTCCCTTGGCCACAAGGTTTCACCACCTTTTTACCTGTTCATCTGACTTCTTGGAAGACATGATATTGAAAGAGATGAAAACATGACTGATATGAAACTACATAATAGTTTGGGGAATATGATAGATGAGAGTGGAAGAGATTTAGTAGAAGACGAAAAAAGGACCAAGAAAATTTTAGTTTGAGTTCAGTGGAAAGAAATGGAAAAAGGATAGTCAGAATATCTATAGAAATGACACTGATGAGGAAGTAAGAGTTAACAGGGCAGTTGGAGGAAATGAGAATTTAATAAGGACATATTTGATGGTTATCCCAGGGGGTGAGTATCAGGGAACACCACTTTCAAATACATTGATGAGACGTTAAATTCAATACACACACACACACACACACACACACACACGTAGTAATGCACATACCTATAATTTGCTTCTACTACTCATTTTCACATAAAGCATTAACTTCCAGATATCAAGAGTTAAGCAATGTCCAAATAATGCTAATGCAATTTGTTGATAGAATATTTCCATTTTTATCCTTTCATTAAATAACAAGTGAGTTAATTAAACAATAATTTTATTTGATGGATCACAAAGCGCTTTTATCAATGTATGAAGAAAAATGTTTTGCATGACTTTATTGCACTTGGTCTGAATTATAGCTGTCCTCCATGCCTGTAATGTTTGCCCTCTTCACCTCTGACTCCTAGTTTTCTTAGTTTCTTTAAGACTTAACTCACAGCCCATTTCCTATGAGAAACTTTTCCCAGTTCCCCTCACCCCCGCATAACCTTTGTCCTTTCCTTTGAAGACGATATTTCATTTACACTCTATATATCTTACATGTAAAAAGCTACTTGAATGTGGTTTCTCCCATTAGAATGTGAATCTCTTTGAGGTGAGAGACCATGTTTTCACATTTCTTCATATCCTCATCACATAGCACAGTTCCTTCATACACACACATACATATATAAATTATATATGTATGTGTGTGTTTATATATCTATATCTATCTATATGTATGTATATCATTTAAAAATTCAGCACACATGAAATGAGGCAGTCCATCTACAAATGGGAATTTAGTTACTGTTCATGGGCACAAAGAAGTCCAGCCCAAATAAAAAGGACTAAGAAAAACTGAAGATAGTAAAAGAAAAAACAACCTTTTGCTAAAAAATCAATTTAAGATAACCTCTATTTTGAACCCTATTTGAATTCAAAGTATTAATGCAATTTAAATATTTTAAGTTGTTGTTAACTATATTTTAAAAATTCACCCAATTAATTTTGAACTCTTTTTGAACTTAATGAAATTTTCCTGTTTTAAAAAAAATTGCTTCATTGCTTAAAAACTTCAATTCAAACTTTTCTCTGGAATTACGGAAGAGCCCATTTGTGAACATGTACAAAAAGGCTTTTCTCAAAGAAAGTCACTGGCATTACATTCAATAAAGAGCAGTGGAAAGATAGATTAAAATTAATTGGACACTAAATAATAAAATCCTAAAGAATAAGTGGGTGAAAGAAGAGATCATAGAAACAACCAATAATTTCATTAAAGAGAATGGGAACAATATGACAACATCAAAAGTGGGATGCAGTCAAAACAGTACTTAGGAGATTTTTTTTCTCTAAATTCTTAAATAAATAGAGAAAGAACAGATCAATGAATTGGGCATACAAGTAAAATAACTAAAAAAACAAAAAATTAAAAATCCTCAATTAAGCATCAAATTCAAAATCCTGAAAATAAAAGGTGAGAGTAATAAAATTGAAATAAAACTATTGAGCTAATAAATAAAAATAGGAGTTGGTTTTATGAAAAAAAAAAAACAAGAATGTGAATAAACCATTGGTTAATTTCATAAAAGAAAACCATATTTCCAGTATCAAAAATGAAAAGGGTGAATTTACCATTAATGAAGAAGAAATTAAAGCAATCATTAGTAAGTATTTTGCCCAATTCTATTCCAATAAATCTGACAAAGTGAAATTGATGAATATTTATGAAAATATAAATCATACGGATTAAAAAAAGAGAAAAAATACTTAAATAACTCCATCTTAGAAAAAAAAGAAACTGAACAAACCATCAATAAGTTCCCTAAGGAAAAAAACCCCAGGTCCAGATGGGTTCACAAATGTTCAATTCTGTATAAACTATTTGGGAAAATAGGTGAAGAAGGAATCCTACCAATTTTCTTTTATGATGCAAATATAGTCCTGATATCAAGACCAGGAACAACTAAAACAGAGAAAGAAAGCCATAAGTCAATTTCCCTAATGAATATTGATGCAAAAATTTTAAATAAATACTAAGAAAGAGATTACAACAATACATTACCAGGATGATATACTATGACCAGGTGGGAATCTTACCAGAAATGCAAGGCTGTTTCAATATTAGAAAAACTATTAGTATAATTGACCATATCAATAACAAAATCACCAGAAATTGTATGATTATTTTGATGGTTTCTGAAAAACACTTTTGACAAAATACAGCACCCATTCCTATTAAAAATACAAGAGAACATAGGAATAATTAGAGCTTTCCTTAAAATGATTAGTGCTATCTATCTAAAACCCTCAGCAAGCATTACTTGTAATAATTAGCTAGAAGGCTTTCCAATTACAACAGGAGTGAAGCAAGGATGTTCATTATGATCACCATCATTCAATATTGTACCATAAATTTTAGCTTTAGCAATAAGAGAAGAAAAAGAAATTGAAGGAATTAGAATAGGTAATGAGGAAACAAAATGATCACTATTTGCAGATGATATAATGGTATGCTTAGAGAATACTAGAAAATCAACCAAAAGCTACTTGAAGTAATTAACAACTTTAGCAAAGCTGCAATATATGAAGTAAACCCACATAAATCATCAGCATTTCTATATATTAGCAATAAAGCCCAGCAGCAGGAGATAAAAAAAGAAATTCCAAGTAAAATAACTCTAGACAATATAAAATATATGAGAGTCTACCTGCCAAGAGAAACCCAGGAACTACATGAACAATGGCAAAACATTTTTCACACAAATGAAGTCAGATACAAACAATGGGAAAAATATTGATGACTCATGTGTAGGCTGAGCCAATATAATAAAAATGACAATTCTACCTCAGTAATTTACATATTCAGAGCCATGCCAATCAATCTACCAAGAACTTATTTTATAGACTTAGGAAAAATAATAACAAAATTCACCTGAAAAAAAAATCAAAACTAACAAGAGAATTTAGGAATGTGGCCTAGTCATGCCAGATCTTTAGCTATATTATAAAGCAGAAATCATTAAAACTATCTGGTAGTGGCTAAGAAATAGAGCACAGAATCTGAGGAGTAGGTTAAGTGCATAAGACATAGTTAAGTGACCATAGTAACCTAGTGTGTGATAAATCCAAAGACCTAAGCTTCTGGGATAAGAACTCACTATTTGACAAAAAATGCTGGGGAAACTAGAAAACAGTATGGCAGAAACTAGGTATAGACTGACACCTTACTCTGTATATCAAGATAAGGCAAAAATGGGTAAATGATTTAGACACAAAGAATGATACCATTCACAAATTAGGATAGCAAGGAATAATTTACCTGTCAGATCCATGAAGAAGGGAAAAATTTATGACCAAACAAGAGATTGACAATCACATTATAAGATATAAAATGGATAATTTTCATTATATTAAATTTAAAAGGTTTTGCACAAACAAAATCAATGCAACCAAGATTAGAAGGAAAACAGAAAGCTAGGAAACCATTTTTACAGTAAATGTTGCTAATAATGGCTTCATTTATCAGACATATAGAAAATTGAGCTAAAAATCATAAGAATACATGCCATTATCCACTTGATAAATGGTCAAAGTATATGAACATGCCATTTTCAAAGAAATCAATGCTATCTATATTCATATGGAAAATAAATGCTCTAAATCACTATTGATGAGAGACATGAAAATTAAAAAAACTCTGAGGTACAACCTCACCTACCAGATGAGTAATATGACAAAAAGGGAAAAT